AGCAATCTAAATACAGCTGGCATAAAAGTTTCCTTAGTTCTTCCTGTTCTCTTTTTATCAACTTTTCCTTTTCCTTTATGAAACTCAAATAAGTGATCTTCATGTCCTTATCAGAGAGAAGCAAAAACCAGTAATAGTGTGGTCTGAAAGAAAGGGTAATGGTGTGTGGACAGGGTATCTGGTAGCCCAGCATTAGCCACCATGCACGGCAGTTCATCCTAAGTGGTCCAGTTCAACAAACAATACAACAGGCATCTTTTGGGAGATGTTTGCCTAGCTCAAGAATACACAGCCAGTCATGATATTTATCTGACATTATTACCTTTCCCAGTACCACCTCCCAGAAATTTGGGCTTAACAGTTGGTAGCAAGTAAGTACATACAGGGGAAGTAGCCAGTGACAGATGGACAATTTGTCTCAGCTCTGCTCAAAACAGAATGATTCCATTACTCTCTGCTTCTGGTACTAAAGTAGAAATCTAGTCCAACATGCTGTATCCCTTCTAGGATCCTCCTGTCCCATGATCTCCCTGATCTCATAGTATTCTCCCCCATTGCAACTACACTGCTGTCCCAGTGATTTCTGAAACAGTCTTGACATGCTCCTATCTTAAAGACTGGCCATTCCTTCTGCTGGGAATATGCTCCCCACAAAAGCATTTGCATGGCTAGTGCCTCCTGTGTTCCTGCTCCTTCAAGACTTCCTTTGCTGTGGAGACTGAAAAACTACAACCCTTGCTCTCATATCCCAGCATTCCTTATACCCTTCCGTTTTTCTCTTTTCCAAAGAACTTGTAACATTTGACTTATGCCATACAATTACATTTTATTTTTGTCTTCTCTTCCTCCCATACCGAACTAACTAGGATGTAAACTTATGGGAAAAAATGATTTTTCTCTATTTCACTAGCCCAAGCATACAAAATAATGCCTCATAGTAGATGCTCAATTAGAGTTCCCAGTTAAATACATGTATGCTTGGACGCAAGCATTATCAAAGGAGTGAAAGCTAACCTGCAGTATGAAAGATGCAAGTGGTTCTGAAAACAGCGTAAAGGGGAGAACTATGCATCTGACATCTGCCCATCCTTTTAAGTCATTTCTCCTTAGTTGAAACTACTTCAAGCTTTTGCCATAGTGAACAGAGAATGAGATCAACTGCAATACACTTCAACTTCGTGTTTTCCAAATGAGTAATTTTCTACATACAAAAAAAAAGTACAGGGCTGGGAAGGTGGCTCAGTGGTAGAGCGCTTGCCTTGCATGCATGAGGCCCTGGGTTAGATTCCTCAGCACCACATAAGCAAAAAAAAAGCCAAAAGTGGCTCTGTGGCTCAAGTGGTAGAGTGCTAGCCTTGAGCTAAAGAACTGAGGGACAGTGTCCAGGCCCAGAGTTCAGGCCCCACGACCGGACCCCCCCCCCCCCAAAAAAAGAAAAACAGTACAAGCCGGGCGCCAGTGGCTCACGTCTGTAATCCTAGCTACTCAGGAGGCTGAGATCTGAGGATCGAGGTTCAAAGCCAGCCTGGGTAGGAAGTCCAGAAAACTCTTATCTCCAATAAACACTCAGAAAACCAGAAGTGGTGCTCTAGCTCAAGTCTGTAGAGCGTGCGCGCCTTGAGCTGAAGAGTCGAGGGACAGCTCTCAGGCTGAGTTCAAGCCCCACGACCGACCAAAAAAAAAAGTACAACTGCTTGCAAATCCTATAAAAAAATTAATGATTTTATATTCTGTTCTACTAATGTAAGGAGCAAAACAGACACAACTTTGTGTATAACTGAGATGAAATGTGAGCATTCAACTATGGCAAAATGTTTAATAACTTTATGTCTTCGTAGATCAGTTCTTGCTTGCAACATCTAATTTGAAATTACAGTGTTCTTCCTTTAAGGAGAATAGAAAAATACCCTTGAGTTAAGGATAGCTTTTTCTCTGAAACTGGAAAAAAAATCTCAGTGCACTGCATGATCAAATCAATGAAGAGATTACTAATGTAAGGTATCTGCCAGTCTGGAGTCATCTACTTCTGTGTTACAAAATTATAAATTTTATTTTTATAAAAAATGTAAGTTATAATCATTTTAGAGATGGCAAAAATTAGGAGGAATGATGAAGAGGGTGACAATGATCAAGACACAATGTACTCAGAAACTGACATGTTGAACTGATAACCCTCTGTACAACTACTTAAAAGATAAAATTTAAAAAGAAGACAAAATTTACCACCAATATAAAACATCCTGTGCATAACACTATCATATATGGTACACTACTATTCTGAGAGGGAGCTGTGGGTCCTGGGGCTTGATTTCAGGGCCTGGGCACTGTCCCTGAGGTTCTTTTTCTCAAGGCTAGCACCCTACCACTAGAGCCACAGCACCACTTCCAACTTTTTGAGTAGTTTACTGGAGCTAAGAGTCTCTCAGACCTTCTTGCCAGGGCTGGCTTGGAACTCTTGAGCCTCAGATCTCAGCCTCATGAGTAACTAGGATTACACGTGGGAGCCACCAGCATCAGGCAAGTTTATATATATAATATATATATTATATATATATAATATATACACATATATATATAAAATCATGAAATCCTTTTCCTTCCAATGCTAGCTCAAGTTAAACATAAATTATAAAAATTTCAAGACTTCCAACTGGAATTTTACAAAACTAAAATTTTACAAAATCAGGTGTGAGAAGTATTAAAATTCACTTTCATGTCATAACCAATCAAAATAAATGTAAAATAAGGTTTTGTAAACTTTTATTAATGATTCATTTATACAGAGTGATAGAAACAAGTTATCTCTATACTGGACACTTGGGCTCCACTTACAAAATGTGAGATCTGACATGAATTTGAATCTTGCCCTTTCCATTTACTGCCTGTGTGACTTAGGGCAAATTACTTGTCCAAGTTTCCGTTTCCTCACCTGTAAGCAAGGATAGTGCCTACCTAAAAATGCTCACAGAATTACGAGAGATGTCTATAAAACACGTAGATCAGAAAATACCACACAGTGACTCTTCAATAAATACTAATTTAATATAGTACAGTATTCAAAAGGGTTACAAGCATACTGTTCACTTCATAACCCACAGACATTCTGAGTTCCCAGACTGTAAGTGTAAGCAATTACTAAGTTGCCAAACTAAAAGAATAGGGCTTTTAATCTGCCAATACATATCTAATAATATACCCTACATTTATACATTCACTGGGCACCAATGGCTCATGCCTGTAATCATAGCAACTCAGGAGGTTGAAATTTCAAAGACTGCAATTTTAACACAGGTTGGGCAGAAAAGTCCCCGAGCCTCCATCTCCTAAACAACCAGCAAAAAGCTGGGCTAGAGGCATGACTCAAGTGGTACAGTAATAGCCCAACCCAGCTCCAGGCCCTGAGTTCAAAACCAGAAACCTGCCAAGAAAAGGAAGATGAGGAGGGGAAGAAGAGGGAGGGAGAGGGGAAAAGAGAAGTGGAGGTGAGAGGAGAGAGAGAGAGAAGGAGAGAAGATAGAGAAGGGGGTGGGGTGGGAGAAGAGAGATGAGGGGGACTTGAATCCAAGCTAGATAGGGTAGTGCGCTTGAAACTACAGCCCTCTGAAGACTAAGGGAGGAGAGTTCCAGGCCAGCCTGAAGGAGGGAGGTGGAGGTGGGTAAGTAGCACAAGTATCTCAAATCCAAATGGATGTAAACCCTGTGTGGGTGGAAATTTAGGGGCAAAGTCCGCCTTTCAGGAGGAATAGGATTTCCTAATCTCCAGCTGGTTCCCTTTACTACTTTTCCAAAGGACTGGGCAGCGGCAAGTAGCTTACAACCCAATGCGTATGACCAGCACATGATGAAAGGGCAGCTATTCTCGATCCGAATACCTAAGTTCACATCTGTCTCCAACTACCCATGCGAACCCTGGACCGGCTGCTAGAGTAAGCCTCCACTGCCACACGTATAAAACACAGTAGACCTACCTACTTCCACAGAGGAAATGGGAATGTGAGTACCCCTGGGAAACTATCAAATGCCCCGTGTCGTCTGCACCGTGAGCTTTTCATTCAGGAAAGACTTTTTAAAAGTAGGAATCATGTTGAATCGGCCCAAGTCGTGAAATACCAAGCTTCTGATTACTCACTAGACTGCACGACAGTGGCTCTAGGCTTCCTTTTTCCACCACAAGTCCCCCAAACCGCACTCCACAACCCCGAGGAGGCCTGGTCCCCACGGCGTCCAAGCCATCTGCGCCGAGGACCGGGGACCGCAAGGCCCGCAATTCCCTCCACCGACAGAAACCTGCTCTGAAGGAAGCGGGGCGACGCGGCCCGGCGAGCTGTTTACCCCCGAGCTCCGGTCCTCCGGGCGAGCGGAGGCACCGCCGGCCACGTCTCCACACCCACGTAGTCAGTCTCGAAGCAACTCGGACCCGGCCCGGCTCACCGCGGTGGAGGGTTCAGAAGAAACCCAGGCGACGCCACAACAAAAGCGATCGCGAGCTCCCGGGGCCCGGGGCCCCCGCCCCCTCCCCCCGGCTGCCCGGGGCGCCCGCTCCGCTCCCGGGGAGGCCCGCGCGCGGGGGCCGGCCGAGGGCCCCGGTCCAGCCGCGGGGGTCACTTCGGTCCGCGCCGCCGGCCGTCACCTGGCGCGCTACGGCCCGGGAAGTTTCCAAGTCAACAAACAAGTTTTCTTCCCGGCGAGGGGGAGCCCAAGGCCGCGGAGGCCGGCGACCCCGGCGGGAGGGAGGCCGCCCCGGCCTCCGCGGCCGCCCCCGCCTCCCGGGCCGCGGGCGGGGTCCCGGCCCCCCGCCGTCGCCGGCGGGAAACGGCGGACGGGGCCGCAGGGGTCGCCGTCCGCCCCCCCCCAGGCCCCGGCCGCCCCCCGCGCCGCCCGGGCGGGCAAACCGCCGGAGCTCCCCGCCGCCCGCCTCGAGCGGCGCGGCCCCGCGCGGGCCCGGCCCGAACCCCGGCGCCGCGGCCCAGGCGCGGGGCGCCACGGCGCCGCCGACTTACCTTCCTCCGCGGTGTCCATCTTGTCTGGGGGGCGGCGGTGACGCAGCCGCGAGGCGCCCGCGGCCCGGCCCGAGCCTTCGGGCCCGGCGGGAAAGGAGGGAGGGGGAGCGGGGCGGAGGGAGCGGGAGCGGCCCCAGCAGGTGCGTGCGCCCAGGTGCGGGAGAGGAAGCCGAGGCCGGAGACGGGGAGAGGGAGAGGGAGCCGGGCTGACGGAGAGCGAGCTGGGGGGGAGGGGGAGGGCGCGCGGCCGAGAGGCGAGGCCTGGGCGGGGCGCTTTGCCGGAAGGGGCGGAGCCAACGACACAGGTCATTTCCGGCGCCCTGCCGCGCACGCGCGCGCGTTCCCGGGCACCCGACGTCGGGTGGCGGTCGGTGAAGCCCTTCGCGGTGGCGGCTGCGCGGCGGGGACGTGCGGGGGGGATTGGATCCCAAGCCGGCGCCGCGCGCTGCTGCGTGATCTTCGGGGACAAAGGAAGCGCGAAGCCGCGCAGGAGAGCGGCGGGAGCGCGCCCCGGCCCGCGTGCGCACCCGAGGCCCCGCCCTCCGGGGCTCCGGCCCCCGGGTTCCCGCACGTGCACCTTCTGCGGGCCCGGGGTCCGGCGTCCGGAGCCTCCCGAGCCGGCGCTCCGCGCGGGTCGTGGGTGCTCGGTCTGAGGAGGTACAGCAACGCCACTGAGGGCAAAAAGACGGGAAAAGGAAGCAGCGTGTTAGCGTGGCTCCCGGCGCAGGGGGTCGGAGCGACCCCTCCGCGAAGTCGCTGAGGCTGAGTCGGGTGTTAGCCGCCCCTCTGGTAACCTGGCGCGGAGGCCGCCCACCGAGCCCGCGCCACGCCGGTGCCGGGAGAACGACGAGCGCAAACTTGGCCAAGAATCCTTGGCTGCTTCTGTAAATTGAGGAAGTGCCCGAGAGGAGGAGGGGAAGGAGGAATGGGGAGGTGATGGGGTGATTGTCTCCCAAGTGCATCAGGTGCACTTGCGGAAATAGCACAATGAGGGCAGAGGCTTGACTTGAGCTGTTGAGGGCCTGCTTAGCAAGCACAGAACCCCGAGTTCCACCCCCAGCACTGCTGGGGAGAAAAAAAGAACGATCACAATGAAACCCAACTTATCACAGCTGTGTGCTCGTGCAAAATACAGATTAGAAACACTGCACCTTACAGTTGCCTGATCAGAAGCCAGAAAGGCTTTGCAACCTGTGTTTTAAAATAACAGACTGAAAAGAGCTTCAAGAATATTAATATTGAATTGAGGAAGGCCTGTCTTTGATCCTTATCGATATGGAGGCTTAAAATTAAGAAAATGAAATGGAGCTCTTCAAAAACCGTAGCCCTTGGTAATGTCACCCATTTGACAAAGTCATACTAATCAAGGCAAACTCATCTTGCCACAGTAACAAGGACCCAGTGGTTTTGAGGTCTGACCTTGAGAGTTGAGCAGACGTTCTGTAAAGGTATTTGTATTTTTCCTAAGAAGCTAAATTTGATGCTACTTTTCCATAACCCCGTCCTTCCTACCCATCCCCAACAAGAACTCACACTCTGTAAAGCCTATGATAGAACACAAAACAGAATCATTGGGCCCATCAGATTAACTATGTAAGAGGGAAAGATTGAGAGAGATTTGCTGAAGAACTGAATATACTTAGGGTAGGCATGTGAAGCCCCTGGTAGTAGACAAAGGTAAGGTCTAGAGGTTTATTGGGGGGAGAAAGGAGAGAATGAGAATGTATCCTGTGATCTGGTGATTCTCAAAAACAAAAATAGCCCAAATTTGGCCCCCAACCACATTCTCTGCTCCTGAATCAAGATAGAACCACTTGCTCCACTACCCCACCACAATAGCCTGTGTAGGTAGGTACCAAGTGCCCTGATACCTCAAACCTCTGAGCTAAATAAGTCTTTTTTCCTTCTGAGTAGCATGTGTCAGGCTAGGCATGGTGCCTCATACCTATAATCCTAGCTACTCTGGAGATCCAGATGATAGCAGTTTCAAGTCAGCCAAGGCTTAATAACAAAAAAAAGTTAGTGAGACCCCATTTCATCAAGCAAGTCAGACATGATGGGACTTCCTTGAAACCTCAAGGATACAGGAGGCATAGTAGGGTGATGGCAGTCTGATGCCAGGGCTGTGGCTCAAGTAGTAAACTACCTACTGGCCTGACAGTACTAAGAAAGAAAAAAAAGCTGTATTTTATTATAGTAATGAGAAACTAATTCAAACAGAAGGGACACATGGGATGACACTAACTATAATAATAACAGTGATTAACCAAACTTCTTATTACATCCAGTGAATATGAGTAACACTCACCTAAGGTAATATACCCATTTTACAGATGAGCCATCAGATTCACAGTAGATTAGTAACTAGCCTTATGCTGTACCCAAACTGGAAGAGAAAGAAGAATTAAGGGACAAATCTGACTTCTGGCCTTCACTTAAGCCTCATTGATTTGACATCTATGGCATCTTACTAACATTAAACCCTTAGTTTTTAATTACGAGTTTAAAATTATAGCCAGCAGGTGACCTTCCAACAATGGCATAGAATTGCTGCTGAAGAAGCATAGCTGGATGTGGTTGTGTACACCGATAATACCAGCTACTTAGTAGGCAGAGGAGAGATCATGAGTTTAATTTCAGCATGGGCAAAGTTATAGTGACTATATTTTGAAAACAAAATAAAGGCAAAAGGACTAGGGGTGTGGCTCAAGTAATAAAGAAGTTGCCTAGCAATCGTGAGGCTCTGCATTCAAGCCCTGCTCATACACACACACACACACACCACACCACACAAACCATTTAAAGTTTAACATTTTTGACATTAACTTCTTAAAGGCAATTTATGACATTTTAAACATTAGATTCCCCCCACCTCAGCTTCCCTTCCTATTTTTTTTTCCTTTCATCTTTCTTTTCTATTTCTCTTCCTTGAAGTAAGACCCAAGTGCAATATAAGAAATAACTTGAGGGTAGGGCTGGAGTTGTGTCTCAAAGGGTAGAACACTTGCCTAGCAAGCATAAGGCCCTGAATTCAAACACCAGTACCACCAAAAGGAAAAAAGAGAGAGAAGGAAATTCATTTAGTTGAACAATTGTAAACATAGAATAAAAATGGTTAGCCATGCCTCTGACTCACGCCTGTAAGCCCAGCTACTCAACAGGCTGAGATCTGAGGATCATGGTTCAAAGCCAGCCTGAAGTGGATTTAGAGAGCCAAGTGGTAGAGAGCCAGGCTTGATTAAAAAAAAAAAAAAGTAAGGCCCTGAATTCAAGTCCTACTACCCCTCCCTGCCCTATACATAAAAAGAATACAGATGGTTAGGTTTTCCTCTGTTAGAGAAAATGTCAACATGGAAAAGTACAGGCTAGAAACACAAGTATTATTATGAACTCACTTGAAAAAATGTAAATAGGTAGCTCTAGAAATAGTTACATATGGATATAGACGTATCAATATGTGTTATTTCCTAATCAATTTTTTTTCAGTTCCCTTGAAAGGATCTTTGTTCATGGAGGCTAAGACTGGTGAATGAAGTTTTGATGAGGAACAGGCACATGGTTGGAATATGTTCCAGAAGTAAGAAGAGGAAAACCAGAACTTTACAGTGATGACATCGAGGTGAGTAGATGATCAAGGTTAAGATGACCAGTATAGGATGGATGGACATAATTAAAAAAGCAAAGTTTGCCAAGATGTGTGGTTGAGTTGTTCCCTTCGGAAGGGCTGCAGTACAGATTAGCCTACAAACCAGAAGGGCTGTCTCCTTTCAAACTGTCAAGGACATAATTACATGGAGAAATCTGAAAGACTGCCCCTGAAAGTAAGCCTAAAAGCAGTGTATGTTCCTGGATTGGATCCTAAACAAGAAAACTTACACACACAAACTAACACTAGTTGCTATGTTCAAAGTATACAACTTGTGGGGGGGAGGGGGGTGGGAGGAAAAAACGGAGAGTGAGGGAAGGGGTGACATTGTCCAAAAAGAAAGGTACTCTCGGGGCTGGGAAGTTGGCTCAGTGGTAGAGCGCTTGCCTTGCATGCCTGAGGCCCTGGGTTCGATTCCTCAGCACCACATAAGCAAAAAGAAAAAAGCCGGAAGTGATGCTGTGGCTCAAGTGGTGGAGCGCTAGCCTTGAGCTGAAGAGCTGAGGGACAGCGCGAAGGCCCAGAGTTCAGGCCCCACGACCGGACCCAAAACAAACAAACAAACAAAGATACTGTTTGCCTGACTTACATAACTGTAACTCCCTGTACATCATCTTTATAATAACATTAAAAAGCCGATGTTGGAGACTCATGCCTGTAATCCTAGCTACTCCAGAGGATTGTGGTTCAAATACAGGATAGACGGAAAAGTTTCTGAGGCTCAACCTTCAAATGGTGGAGCATCAGATGAGAAAGTAAGTCCAGCTAGCTTGAGGCCTGAAGTTCAAATCCCAGTATTGGCAAACCCTAAAAAAATGTGAAAGTAAGATATGCACCTGTGCGTATAGATCAATGGTAGAGTATTTGTCTAGCATTCATAAAGCCCTGGGTTTGAAACCCAGTACTGGAATGAATGAATGAATGAGAAAAAGACATTCTTGGGACAGCTGGCAAACTGACCGTTGAATGTGAACCATTGTATGGTATCGTTGGTTTCCTGTTTTGAGAGATCCTTGCTTGTGGGGGGAGATACTGGAAAAAAATGATAGAAAATCAGTTCTGAAGCTTGTTTTCAAGTGGCTCAGAGAAACTGTATGTTATGAGAGTGATTGATGGTTTAGTAATTGTTGAAGCTGGGTGAGGGCAGGATAGGAGTTGCTTTATGCTATGCTTGTAACTTTTCTTGAATTTGAAATTATTTGAAAATCCATTTTTTTTTGCCAGTCCTAGGGCGTGAACACAGGGCCTGAGCACTGTCCCTGAGCTTCTTTTGCTCAAAGCTAGCACTCTATACTTGAGCCACAGCACTACTTCCGGCTTTTTCTGTTTATGTGGTATTGAAGAATCGAACCAGGGCTTCATGCATGATAGGCAAGCACTCTACCACTAAGCCACATTGCCAGCCCTAAAAATCAATTAAAATATTAATTACTGATAGAGGGGGTGAAATAATTGGAATATAATGTAAACATGTGTAGAAAAGTAACAATGAAATCTTTCCCCCTCTATAACTAGTGTAAGCTTAAAAAAAAGTAAAAGTACTGATACAACTCTAAAGCCAAGCCATAGTTCCCAAATTTGGGGTCTCAATCACACCTTTGGCAGTCTGATAAAATTTATGGACTTTGTTCCCAGATAACTTTCATTAAGTCAATACATTACCTACAATTTCAAGAAAAAATTCAAGCATAAACCCCCAGGTTAAAAGGCTTTTTCAACTGGACACAGTAGCACACATTTATAATCCCCACATTCAGGAGACTAGACAGGAAGACCTTTAGTTGTAGGGCAGCCTGAGCTACATAGCAATATCCTGTCTCAAAACAACTCATTTAAAAATGTTGGTATTCACTTACCTTTCCAAGATGTGGCAAGCTAGGTTATTTAAATCAAGAATTGCATATAATCGGCAAAATACCAAATATATATTTTTCAGTGCACAAAAGAGATAACAGCAATAGTGAAGTGACTACCAGACCAAAATCTAAGGGCAAGAAGATTCCAAAAGGTAAACAGATTGTTAAAAGTGGTTTTGTTCTGCTGAATAAAGTTGACATGTTTGGATGTTTCCAGGGCAAGAAGGAGCACTTTGGCAGGTACCAGTGGCTCATTCCTGTAATCCTTGCTACTTGGGGGGCTGAGATCTAAGGATTATAGTTGGAAGCCATCCTGGGCAAGAAAGTCTGTGAGACTCTTATCTCTAATACCCCCCAAAAAGCTAGAAATGGAGATCTGGCTCAAGTGATACAGTGATATTAAGCCTTGAGAAAAAAGCTCAAGGACACCACCCAGGCCCTGAGTTCAAGCCCCAAGATTGGCACAAAAATAAAGAAGGTGCACTTTCAAAATTCTGCCCAAGGTTAGATGTCTGTACACACACCTTCCACCAGGAGTTTCCCTGAGACTCACATGGCTTTTCTTGTAGGGAACACTGAACAGAAGTAAATGTGACTCTTCTTTTATTCACAAGAAAACATCAAGCTCCTTAGCTAAATTTCTGTCACCTTCATTGTTGCTGTAAATGGAATGTTTGCATCTGTATTAAAGCCCTGATCTGCAATGGGATGGACTGTGGTCTCCTAAGAAGTATGACTTTTGGGAGGTCATTAGTTTTAGATGAACCAATAAATTAGGAGGGAGCCCTGTGAAGAAGATATTCCCACCCCCACTTTTCTCTCTTCCTACTACATGAGAGTATGGCAAAAAGGTGGCCAGCTGCAAACAACAAGAAGCCATCGTCACCAGAACGTCAACCCCTAGACCTAGAACGTTCAATGTTCTTCCAGAATTATGAGACATGTGTTTTTTAATTTAATTTTAATTTAATTAATTAATTAATTTTTTGTTGGTTGTGGGTCCTGAACTCTGGGCCTGGGCGCTGCCCCTCAGCTCTTCAGCTCAAGGCTAGCACTCTACCATTTGAGCCACAGTGCCACTTCCAGCTTTTTCTGCTTATGTGTGCTGAGGAATCGAATGCATGGCCTCATGCATGCAAGGCAAGCACTCTACCATTGAGCCGCCTTCCCAGCCCTGAGATATGTTTATGAGCTACTCAGTCAATTATACTCTGTTATAGAGCTTGAACTGATAAGGACAATTACTCTCAAACACACACACACACACACACACACACACACACACACACACACACACACACACACACACTTCAGTCCTGGGGCTTGAATTCAGGGCCAGGGCTCTGTCCCTGAGCTGCTTTTGATCAAGGCTAGTGCTGTACTATGTAAGCCAGAACTCCACTTCTGGCTTTAAGAGCCTCATAGACTTTCCTGCCGCAGCTGGCTTTGAATTGCAGTCCTCAGATCTCAGCTTCTTGAGTGGCTAGGCTTATAGGTGTGAGTCACCAGCGCCTGCCTCTACCAAACATTCCTTGAAGTTTTGTTCTGAACACTATGTTACACTGTAAAGATAAGCATGTTGGGCCGGACTAAAACCCAGTTTCCTCCCTCATAGAACATTACAACTAGATTAGAAACTGCTGCCTTGCTTTCCTGGGAAGACTCATTTATAACTTCATTTGGGGAATCCAGTAATGAGTACTATTCTGACCACTTAGAGATAACTTTGGGTTCTGAGAATGTCTACAGTATTAGAATTAACACGTCTGTAACTTTTTCCTTCCTGTGTGACCTCCTTTTCCCTGTCAAAATAACACCCAGTTTTCTTTTCGAAAGCCACTCCTGCTTACTGGAATCAGAGGGCCTGAGCCAGTTCCATAGCAGGGGGCCACCCCTCCCCTGGGGGCATGCTCCCTCTGCTGCCATTATCCAGCACCCTTCTCCACCCACCACGAGTCTGAATTTCTGATGCCTTGCCTTGACTTTGAGCCCCCCCCAGTATTTGTATTTCATATCCTAGCCAGTCATTCATAAGCTCAAAAGTAATCAAGCGCTGACTGAGTACTGGCACCGTTCAATTAGAGATATAGGGGCGGAAGGGACGAGTACATTGCTCACGTGGCCATGCTCCGTGGGCTCAGCCTGTGCTGGGAGCTAATGGTGGCCTGATCTCACAAGAAGTGATCTCACTGTCAGAAGTGTCCTCCTCCTCCCCACAATGCCAAGCTGGGTGTTCAACCTCACTTCCCTTCCTCTTGTGAGGTCCCATGCTCCAAGATCTCCAGTGTCTTCCTGAAACTGTGTTCCTACTCTGCCCCACGCCCCCTCTCCTTGTTAACTGTGGGGACCCTTCTCTTGAGCTGTCCAATTTCTGAGTGTAGATTGCAATACAGTCTCTACAGGCTGACACGGGCTGGGCCATGTCTGACAGTGGAACTCTGCCAGGGTGTGGCAGCCAGTTCAGGAAACCAGGCAGCATCCTCAGGACTGAGGAGCCTGGTACCTTAGGACTCCGTCCATAATTGCCAGCTTCCCTGAGTCTTGCCACTGACGAGCCAGAGGAAGACAAACACTCATCTCCTACCCAGGTCATTGGATGCCCCAGTTCTGTGAGCTTCCTGCAGCGTTTCCACACCGTTGGCCTCTAATCAGGGCAGCCCTGGAGGCTGCCTTTATTTCACTCCAAAGTATTCTGCTCTGCCTGCTTTTGAATCTCGGCCAAATACAAATGAAGATGGCAGGCTCCTTTGGCAGGAGGCCCTGCACAGACCTCGCTTGTTCTCATTTGGGTGGTCTTTGTCCCCATTTCATTTTAGTAGCAGGCCCTTAGGCCTTCCATTTGGAGTCCTGCCCACCCAGGCCTTCAGACAACCTTCCCCTCTTCTCTTTTTGAGGTCTGTCAGCCTCAGATCTGTCTCATTTTGATAGAAATCATAGCACTTAAGAATTGGCCTTTCTGGGCAATGACTCATTGGTTTCTTCATCGTGGCAGGGGAGACTCCAATCACTGCTGGAGACCTACAGAGCCACATTTTAGCCTCAGTGCTGGGAAGCAGTTGCCATAGTGATAGATGCGTCAGGCAGGCTCACTGAAGCCGGCCCACGCTGAGAGAAGGGGTTGGCCTTCTGCTGTATTGCTGCTGGACCCCCAACTCCCATTCCCAAGCTCTGAGAGCACAGTAGTTATACTCTGAGAACCCTAGCTTAGTATACCACCCCCCTTCCCCACCCCTGCCATGTTGTCTATAATAGTTGGCCTCACTAGGTTGTACAGCTTAGTCTATGTTGCTTAGCAACAAAATAACAAATAATGTAAATCCAATCTCCATTGAATCTGCATGAATGCCTCACTTTTTTATGTGGATGCAATCTCAGGGTTCTGTGCCAGGGTGGGGGGAGGCTGACCCAAACCTTTCCAAACGTAGAAGTAATGCATTGGGAAAAAGTACATAAAGCAAAAGGGCACATTCTGATCAACTCTAATAAACACTCAGACCCAGATAGAGAAAGCAAACATTGCCACAGTCCCAAGGAGTTCCCTCCTGGCCTTCCCAGGCAGTACCAACTCAACTTGGACAGACATATGGCTTTCATCACCATCCTTCTGTCCTGCTGTTTTTGAACTTCACTTAGAAGAATGACATAGTATGAACCTTTTGTGTCTGACTTACTTCGTCATCACGTGTCAGTGAGGCTTTCCCATGTTGTATAGGCACTAAGAGGAGGAGGGACGGGATGCTGCTGAACACCAGTCCCTCCTCCCCTGCCAGCCACGGCACTGGCAGGACAAAACGTCACTAGGCCCTGGATTCACTGTCTCCACTGAAACCCCCTGCATGAAAGCATACTTGCGGGAACCCATGCTCATCCTGCTCTGGCCCATCTCTGCTGGTGAATGGGGATGCCACCACTTCCATCGCCATGGCTCCCAGCCTCTTTCAGTCCTATCAGTCGGGATAGCTGACATACCTGTGTTAGGGCGCCCGCAGTGGAAGCTGTTCAGGGGGTTCATTGCATGGGAACTCGAAGGCACTTGAGTTGTGTTCCCTCCAGAGATCCCTCTTTCTAGTCAGTTGACTCCCTCCTCTTCCTCCCTCCCTACCTCTCGATTGCTCTGAAAATTCTTTTTTGGAAGTAATTTCAGTTAGCTATGGAGAAGTTACAAATTCTGGTAGACATAGTAGATTCATAGATTCGTAGTACAAATTCTGATAGACGTTTACCCCAGTCCCTAAAAGTTAGTATTTGGCCATATTTTCTTTGCCATTCTTTCTTTGTCTATATGCATAATTCATATAAATTCATTTTTCTAAATCCCTGAGAGTATATTGTAAACATGTCTCCTAAATACCTCAATGTGTGTGTGTGTGTGTGTGTGTGTGTGTGTGTGTGTGTGTGTGTGTGTGTGTGGTTAGCTGTGGGGCTTGAACTCAGGGCCTGGGTACTGTCCCTGAGCTTTTTTGCTCAATGCTAGGGCTCTACCACTTTGAGCCACCACACCACTTCCAGTAGTCTGAGGTTAATTGGAGATAAGAGTCTCATGAACTTTCTTCCCCAGGCTGGCTTTGAACCTTGATCCTTAGATCTCAGCCTCCTGAGTAGCTAGGATTACAGACCTGCGCCACAAGCACCTAGCCCCCCCCCATTTTTTTTTTGCACCTAGCTCTTAATGTGTGTGTGTGTGTCTCTCTCTCCCTCCTTCCCTCCCTTCTTTCCTCCTTTCTTTTCCCTCCCTCCCTTATTCCTTTCCTCCCTTATTCTCCCTTTTTCCCTTCCTTCCCTCCCTCCTTCCTTCCTTCCTTCCTACCTTCCTCTTTTTCAAGGACATTTTTCTTAAGCTGGGCGTGGTGACTCATGCCTGTTACTCAAGCCATTTAGAAAGCATAAGTAGGAGGATTGCAGCCTAGGCAGCCGTGACAAGTGAGACCCTATTTAAAACACAATAAAAGCAAAGGCGCAGTGCCTATGTGCATCTGATCATATAAAATAAAATTTATTGAAATGAGCTCCAGGAAATGGAAGCAAAGGATTTTGTTGCTATTTTTGTTTTCTTTTGTCTTGTTTGTCCATTTATCTGTTTTTGTGAGGGTAAACAGTGGCACAGAATTGAACAAATGCAGCAGCAGCACTCACTAGACATTATGCTGAAAGT